CCACTTCCTCCTTCTGCTCTTACTTCCTCCCCCACTTCCTCCTTCTGCTCTTACTTCCTTCTCCACTTTCTCCTTCTGCTCTTACTTCCTCCTCCACTTTCTCCTTCTGCCCTTACTTCCTCCTCTTCTTCCTCCTCCACTTCCTCCTTTTCTACTTCTTTGTCTCTAACCTGGTTACTACCTGTGTTGAATCACCTGATTTTACAGCCTATCAAAGTCAGGATAAGAATGTAAATGTTTTTGTTACACTGGAGATGTGCGGTGCGAGAAGAGCCATGCTTAGGCTTCCCCTTCAAGTGCCACTTATGGATGCACATTTAACCCTAAACCCCAATGTGCCAGGCTGCGGTTCTTGCTCTTCGACCCCGGCGATGTCAACAAGCAGGGGTGGTAATCATGTATTTTGCCAGAAACCAAGCGCACAGAGGTGCCGTGCGCTGGACCCCAGTCTGCGCTGGGAGACGTGGCTGGGCTCGGGGTCCCTCCCGGCCCCGGGAGGTCCTGTCCGCTCTCCTTTCCTGTCCCGTGTTCTCCTGCTGCAGCTGGCGGGGCTGTCTTTCACATGAGTCTGGATGACACTCTCAAGTCTCCAGTCAGCTCTCTGCGGTTTTCACCTCAGAGATTCTCCTCGTCATTTAGAGCAGAGGAAACTGTCTGGCGCTGCTGTGGGCCTCTGCAGGCACCGCACAGAGCCACGCCCATGACAACTTCGCCTTTGGGGATGGAAGATGGCGACGCTTGCCTTTGCTGTGTTTGAGGGCTCCTGGAAACTCGCGTGCGTGGAGGGGAGACCTGCTTCCCCTGGGCCTTCTTTCCAGCTTCGACTGCCTGGAATTCGTGACCTGCAAAGTCGTACTTGACGCAGGCGTTCAGACGGGCAGCCTTCAGCACGGGACAAAGAACAGAGGGTTAGTGAGGCCTCCTGGTGCCCCCGTGCCATGGTGATGGCTGCTGATAAGTCTCAGGGCCCGGCCGGGGTTGGGAGACACACTGGCCCCTGCCTTTCCTTCTAGCGCTTCTCATCCGAGCGGGGGCTCTTCAGAGGCTCCTGGCAAGGGTGATGCGCACTGGGGGTCAGGTGGACTGGAGTCGATGCTTCTTGCCACCTGTCAGGCTCCCACAAAGGACAAAAACTAAGCCCACGCCAGGGGCATTGGCCTTGTGTCTGCCTTGTGAGCTTGCTAACTGGATCTCCCTGGTGGCGCAAGGGGCTAGAGCGCAGCACCGTGAAGCTGTCCACAGGGCAGGGGGCGTCTTTGACCTTGAAGCTGGGACCTCTGCGGGCAGGTGGGGCGGGCGAGCCCCGGGAAAGCTGGGTCTCACTGGTGTTGCTCCCTAGAGCAGTTCTGTTTCATGCTGAGGTCCGAGCCTGCCAGTCAATCACTCAGAAGAACTGGGCTTTTTACTATCTCAGGACATGGTGGAGGTCATGTCCCAGGGCTCCTGAACCTGATTTTGTTTTTGCAGACTCTCACAGACCTGGGTTTCTGGGGAGGAGAAATAAAACCAGGGTTGACAATCTCTTCTTCAGCTGACGGGCCTGTTCGTTCATGACATTAAGCAATGCCCGATTTCAAATACTTTCCACCGTGAAGGAGTGCCCATTGCTGTCTAGTTTCCAGTCTGGGAAATCTCGACTGGACTTGTTTTGTTTGGGACTAAGTCACCTGGGGTTTCTTCAGAGTTTCTTCTTCATGGGAGAAGATCTGGAAGGGAGAGTTACCATGGGCTAGACTTTGTGAACGTGCCGTCTCACGTACTTGAGCCATGGCTCTGTAGTGTCCAACTGCAGCTTTCTCTCTCTCTCTTTTTAAAGACTTATTTATTTGTGCATACAGAACTGGGGTACAAGCCAGAGGTGCAGGGAGTGAGAGGCATCACCAGAGACAGACTGGAGAGCAGAACAGGCAGATCTGCAAAGTCCACTGCTGAGGGAGCAGTGGGGAGACAGGAGAGGTCTGCCGCACTCTTTGGGTCACCTCCGGGGCGGGGATCGAACTCATGCTGCAGTGGCTTTCGCTTTGTAGTACTGCACTTTAACCTGCTGCCCCAGGGAGGGCCCCTCTCTCTCTCTTATTTAAAGTAGAATTTACTCTTCCCGTTGGTGGTACTAGAAAGGCTTCCTCTCATCACCCTGCGGAACATCCCAGGACCTGAAACTTATTCTCAGGACCACAGTCTTCCAGGTCTAACTTCCCTTAAGCAGTTTTGTCTTTTTGGCAAAGGAGTATAAATTGGCATCCTATTTTCTTAGCCCTGGTAATGGCATCTGGGAGAGTGGTGACTTTTCATGGTAGTTGTTTTACCATCTGTAACTTTCTTTTTTTTTTTTTTTTAAAGATTTACTTATTTATGCATCAGAATTGGGGTTCAGGCCAGAGGTGTGTGTGTGTGGGTGAGAGGACTCACCAGAGACAGAGTGGAGAGCAGAACAGACGGATCTACTGAAACACACTGCTGAGGGGGTGGCGGGGAGACAGGAGGGGTCTGCTGCACCAGGTGGGGCCCCTGGCCAGGGATCAGACTTGTGCTGAAGCGGCTGAGGCTGCGCTTTGACCCTTTGCACCACCAGGAGGGCCCGTCACCTGTCACTTTCTTGGTGGAAGAAACACTGGCGGTTCTTACCTATACAATTCAGACAACTCAGGATCTTACCACTTGCCCAGGAAAGTTCCAGAAGCCTTCAGCAGCTCACACCGTGTCTGGAACTTGTCTCCTATGACTACCCAGTAGAAGGCAACATCTCACACCCTCTTTAAATCCGTAGGGTGTGTGCGCCAGAAAGCTCTTCCCCACACTTGTGTTGAATTAGCAGGCTTGCGACTGAAGAGCTTGGGACTGGTGACTTGTCCCGCTATGGGAATAGAATCCCAGCGAAAGCTGTTCGGTTGTACTTGTAATTTCAGTCTATTTTAGTTAGTCTGTTTGTTCAAGACCTTGCTAAAATTGGGGCTGACTAATGGTCTGCTTAGCATCGCATTGACTTTAGCTTGAGTATGTATTTTCCTCCCCGATTTCTGGATGACTTAGACTCCAACTAGTATGATTCAAGTATTCCAGTGCAGCGAAGGGTCCAAACTGCGTCCCTTTGGTAGATAAATAAATAGAGAATGGAATTTCTTCCAGCTGCCAGACTAACCTTCTCTACTGGCACTGAACTCTGAAAAATGGCTCGGAGCTTGAAAGCCTTGAGCTGGAGGGGGACGGCACTGAGTTTTCCAGGTTAAGAAATCCAGGAGAACCCGCCCTGTGTGGTTCTTCATTTTTTGTGTGCTCATTTTTAATGAGGAAGTGAACCCCGGATGACAGTACTGATTTTTCTTTATTGGGTGACTGTTGGACCTATTCCATGGATTAAATCAGGTTAAGTAAAAAAGAATTGTTTTGAAAGTCTGGCTCTGGATCTCTGGTATATTTACCAAGATTTCCACTTGGTACCCATTTCTGTTTCTCAGGGATCCTCACGCCCGCCCTCTAGAACAAGAAGTCAGAAAGGGGAATGCAACAGGATGGG